ATTATAATATTATTACTTTCATTAATGTTGTTGTAAGCTACTGTCACTACCGTCTGTCTTGTATCTCTCTCTGTCTCTGTCTCTCTCTCTCTGTCTCATTGTGTCATACGGATTACTGTTAATTTATTATGTTGATCTGTTCTGTACGACATCTATTGCACGTCTGTCTGTCCTCCTCAGTTGCTCTTCCTGAGGTTTCTACCGTTTTTTTTTCCCCGTTAAAGGGTTTTTTTGGGGGAGTTTTTCCTTATCCGCTGTGAGGGTCCAAAGGACAGAGGGATGTCGTATGCTGTAAAGCCCTGTGAGGCAAATTGTGATTTGTGATATTGGGCTTTATAAATAAAATTGATTGATTGATTGATTGATTGATTGATTGAAGTTCTTTAATGCATATTTACCACAGACTACTCTGATTGTAACTTTGAGGATAGTATTGTGTAAGTCTATTCAAATTCAGGAAATCCAACATTGTGTGTGTGTGCGTGCGTGCGTGCGTGCGTGCGTGCGTGTGTGTGTCTGTGTTTTTCAGGTGCAGGCAGCCAGTATATTGTTTGTAGACAACCCTGTGGGCACTGGCTTCAGCTACACTGACAGGCCAGACGGCTATGCTACCAATGTGTCCATGGTTGCCTCAGACATGCTGGTGCTGCTCCAACACTTCTTTACAGAAAGGGCAGAGTTCCAGGTACATCAGTCCAGCACTACATTCTGTTTCCCAACATTTTATATGGCTCAGCATCGGGGATAGCAGTATCCGGACTCTTTATGTTTTTGGGTTGTCCATCCAACCATACATCATGTCCGTCGGCCCATCCCATTCTTGTGAAATCACAAGAACGCCTTGAGGGCATTTCCTCATATTTGGCACAAATGTCCCCCTGCACTCAACAATAAACTGATAAGATTTTGGTGGTCAAAGGTCAGGGTCATTGTGACCTTGTCTGTCTCAGTCTTGTGTACGCAATATCTCAATAACCTCTTGAGGGAAATTCTTCATATTTGGCACAAAGTTCACCTGGATTCAACAATCAACTGATTAGAACTTGGTGGTCAAAGGTCAGGGTCACTGTGACCATTCACTCATCTCATTCAAGTGAATTTGATATCTCCAGAACACCCTGAGGGAATTTCTCCAAATTTGATACAAATTTCCATTTGGACTGAAAAATGAACTGATTAGAATTTGGTCGTCAAAGATCAAGGTCACTGTGACCTCACAAAATATGTTTTTGGCAATAACTCAAAAATTCTTACGCTAATTATGATAAAACTTCACACAAATGTGCAAGGATGCCAGTGCCAATGTGCTCTTTCTAGCCAGCTTCTTCTATGAGCAGTATATGTAGAACATGTTTGATAGGCAGCTATTGTGAATTTGCACTTGTTGTAATATTTGCTTATACTGGCCAACCCAGAGCAACCTTGCTCGGCTGCCTAATGTTTGCCAGCTAGATTTAAGTTTTTTAAATGTTATAGTTTATTTTTCATCAGTACAAACTCCAGAGCAGTAACAACCAACATAAGCTGTGAACTCTGTGTGTATTAATCACTGTAATAATGAGCAGTCTTTGATTTTTATTCTTTTTCAATAAGTTGATTTTCTTTTGTGCAGAGCATCCCCTTCTACATCTTTTCTGAGTCTTACGGAGGGAAGATGGCAGCTGCTATCTCATTGGAACTCACCAGGGTGAGAGCAGAATGTTACTTCTCTTTTCAACATCCTCTTCAGCTCCATGTGAGCGGAAAGTCCCCATGTCAAACAACTGTCATGTGATGGATAAAACACATGACACAAAGAACAATGTAATGGCATTCTTGTAAGACAGAAAATTGATGTGGAATAGTTTATGTGTCCTTAAAGAAGACTGAACTTCTGTAGTATAATAACAGCAAGTACAATTAGATATAGCGTATCCTGGTAAGACCATCCTGTTTACACGTGGTCAATGTTCTGTTTCGCTCTCTGTATCAGTCTGGACTTGGTGAAGGTCCAAACACTTTCCAGAAATTAAAATCCAATCAGGGATCCGCACAGTAGTTGACAATGGAAGCAGCCAGTCAGGGACTGCGGTATAGTTGATGATGTAAAAGGCAGGCCGCAGCTTGCAGAACAGTAATGATGGCTCGGGAAGCAACAAGCGCTAACTCTAACATTAGCAGAGTAAACACTGTAATACGTTAAGTTGTTGCAGAAACAGAGTCAATAACAACAATTAAACAAGAACAACAGTATGCACTTACTGAGTTTCTCAGAGGAAAAGATGTTTTCACCGTTCTTCCGACTGGCAGAAGCATGATTTATTAACTGGCTCTACTGGTGACGAAGGTGTTTTGTTACACTGACTGGCTGAAGGAGTTTGTCTATCAAGGCAAGTGTTACACTTCTAAGAATGACACGGTGGCCGATTCTTCGTGTAGCATATTAACCTTTTTTTATTCCTGTAGGAACAGTAACAAGCACAATATCAGTCCTTTGGCGTCTGTGTTTCTCTGCACGACTACGACAATCTGACGTCTCACTCTACTAGTGACAGGCGCATTTCAAGCTTACATTGCATTCAAGTTACAGTTAGGTAGTCACGTCACCAACACCTTTTTAACTACAAATATTTACATTCAGTGAACTTATTTTAATCTCTATTTATTATCACATTAACTGTTTCACTTTTTAACCTTTAAACTTATTACTGTCTTTAAATCATCTGTATTTATTATTCTCTCTAACTCAATGGTCACCAAAAATATGAATGAACTTCAATACTGAAATCATGGCATTCATGTAAACTCTTATTTTGTAACACAACAGGACAATTTGTAGTAAAACATCTTTTGTGCTCTTGTTCTGTAACTGGAAATTATGTACTGTCTTCCTGGCCTGCAATTAGTCAGAGCCGCAGTGAAAGCGGGCTTTTACTGTTAGCATCTGTGTTAATAGCCTCCACTCGTTCATGCACAATAAAGGGTTTTACACATTTTCACACCACACATTAGCAAGGGCTAACTTCAAACCAACCTCACTAATCGTATTTAATTCACTGTTGTACATTTCTCCCTTTTTTAAAGACAGTTTCATCACCCATTTCCAATATCATTAGCATTGCCTGCCATATTGGCTTACTTGACACGGATCCGGTGGGGTAGCGGAAGTTAACAGGCCGCCATTACTCGGTGCGCTCATCTCCATTCAAAGTTACGTTACAACATACTACACATCAAAGTCACAGTCTAAGGCTTTAACACTTGTCATATCACTTTCATGTGTTGTTCTGTTTATGATTTCTGATTATCTTACCTATAGGAACAGTAACAAGTCCTTTGGCGTCTGTGTTTCTCTGCACTACTACCAAAGAGCATGGATACCAAGAGGCGAAGCTCAATAGAACGCCCCATAGCAACAGACTCGCCCATGGTTTCGTCCTACCGCCGCCATTTTGGACCGTAGCAGACCTGCTTGCATACAAAAACACACAGACAAACTGAAGTATATCGCTATTAATTATGCTTACAATGCTACTCACCTCACAGCTGCTTTTTCACGTTTTTGTAAAGCAAAATAGACTTTAAAAAAAAAAAAAAACTAAGAAAAACGGTCTAGATGGCATCTTTACATATTACATTCACTTATGAGAACGTTAACTTAATTACTCCTTCAAAATCACCCCATAAACCAATCTACCAAAAAAAAAACCAAAACAAAAAAAAAACAAAACATCAATATTTTAACTAGAAACACATTAATGGCGATGTCACATAGTCAGGAATAAAGATTTATTTACAGTTTGTGCAGTAAGGGGACAGTAATAATAATAATAATAATAATAATAATAATAATAATAATAATATATAGACTATTTTAATATGATATATTTTAATGCTAAAGCAGTAATCAGTTCTGATATAAATGGTCCAAGAGGCCATATATACACACACATATATATGTGTGTGTGTGTGTGTGTGTATATGTATTACCTTCCCTCCAAAACTGGCATATTAAATTGATATTAAAACACTTCAAAACTTACACCTCAGGAGTTCTTACCTGTCGGGATCCTTCGGGAAACGGTGGAAGGCCAGGTGCGGGGTGTTCCACTGGTAGTTGTTGCAGTTAATTGCACTACACTGTTTTCTTTTACTTTTTTTCTCCTCTCTCCTTGACATCTTGCATGTTGTCTGGGCGCAACAGTCCAAGCTCAACAGTCCAAAATGTGGCAGCGCCCCTAGTGGCTGTTGGCAAAAATTCAACTGAGCTTCGCCTCTTGGGCTGTGTTCGGAAAGTCTTTTTTACTTAGGAAGGTTCCTAGCTGAGTGAAATGACCCGGAAGTATTTTAGCGGCCGCCATGATAAGACATATGATAAGAGCTGTTCGAATTGTCTAAACACTAAGGAAAGGAGGTTCAGTGCTTCCTTTCAGATCTCCTTTAGCATAGGATACATCGGACCTTCCTAAGCGATATAAGGAGATAATTCCATCCCACAAGTCATTGCGGCGGCAATATTTACGCACCATTCACAAACTCAAATGATTAGGAAAGAAAAAGATCAACATGACCAAGAAAGGAAGGAGATCACCATCTAAGTTACCGTTGTTTATGAAGCATTATACATCTCATGCCATAACTTGTTCATATATATTTTTTCAACTTTCAACATTATGTTAAACTTAGATGCGAACTATGAACGTTTCGCTACTATTGGTGTACCCTCCGTCCACAGCTTTGTTTAACTTGTTTTATAACAGGATAAACAAAAATGCAAATATACAATGCATCATTTTAATTTTCCGATTTTCGTGTGAATGAGAAAAAACGGAAATCCACGTGCTTTTCCCATTTTCGTCTTCAAATGGCTAATTGATATAGAAATTAAACCAAAACCGGAAACCTACTTGTTTTTTGCCTTTATTGTTATATCTGCGTACAATGCGTGCCAGTTAGTTTTGTGTCCGACTTCATCCCGACTTGCTCTGACGTATTACAAAAGTGGACGGCGATAAAGCCGCGAGAGTGAGGCGGCTGCAGTTTTTAGAGCCAGGCGCTGCAGTTGCTCTCCACCGACTGCACCGCCTGGCTCTCACCTGATCTAACAGCTGATTGGTTTAGACGTCGACTCAACAAGATGATGTTTTAGATAAACTACTCATTTTTGTTGAATTCTAGAGATTAAGATTGTATTTGTCCGATCTGAAGGTTTATTCTGTGAACAGAAAACATGTTGTGTGACTGATGGTGAAAACAAACTGATATATGGGTCTGATCACTTTTTTAATGAACTGACATCATTCCAGACAGGATGTAAGTGTGTCTGTGACTTCATGAACAGACTGAAGGCTGCTGGAAACTGTAGGGAAACTGTCCGACTTCACCGCAGCTTTTTGTCACCGCCCCCCCGCTGCGGCCGCCTGCTCTCATCTACTTTTCAGGCGAGGCGCAATTCATCTCGAACGAGCCTATTTTCTCAGCTCCGCGGTTCTCTTTTCCTAAATCCTTATGAATTATCCTACTCATCTTTCCTTGACCTCGTGACGTTTCCCACAGAGGTCAAGGAATAGTGATTAGGAATAGACGATAGGAGGGACTTTCCGACCACAGCCTTGGTATCAATGCTCTTTGCTACTACTATGATGATCTGACGTCTCACTCTACTAGTGACACAATAGGTTCGTTCGAGATGAGCCAGGCCTGCGCAGATTCGATCACCGGCGATCGGTGCACAATGCATGCCGGTTAGTTTTGTGTCCGACTTCATCCCGTCATCCCGACTTGCTCTGACGTATTACAAAAGTGGACGGCGATAAAGCCGCGAGAGCGAGGTGGCCGCAGTTTTTAGAGCCAGGCGCTGCAGTTGCTCTCCACCGACTGCACCGCCTGGCTCTCAACTGATCTAACAGCTCATTGGCTCAGATGCCGACTCAACAAGATGACGTTTTACATAAACTACTCATTTTTGTTGTATTTTAGAGATTAAGATTGTATTTGTCTGACCTGAAGGTTTATTCTGTGAACAGAAAACATGTTGTGTGACTGATGGTGAAAACAAACTGATATATGGGCCTGATCACTTTTTTAATGAACTGACATCATTCCAGACAGGATGTTAGTGTGTCTGTGACTTCTTGTACTGACTGAAGGCTGCTGGAAACTGTCGGGAAACTGTCCGACTTCACTGCAGCTTTTTGTCACCGCCCCCTGCTGCGGCCGCCTGCTCTCGTCTACTTTTCAGGTGAGGCGCAGTTCATCTCGAATGAGCCTATAGGTATATATACGTAGATGCCGCATTCAATGGTGCTCCTCATTGGAGCAATATGTCAACGCGGCCGCCATCTTGCCCAGGTGGAGCCGCGCTGCCTAATGCATGTATGTCTATTGAGGCAGGAGATTATTTATGATTAAAATCATCATTACTCGCTGAATTCTCAACCGATTTTCATGCGGTTTGGTTTGTTAAAATTGTCAGACATGTAGTTATGATATAGGATACTTGGTTAAATAAAAAATGCATCTTTTCATACCAAAATATTTGATCTTATGTAGATAAAGTAACAGTAGCCTAATAGTTCTACAACACATTTAAACTAAACTTTACCCATGTAATAAATATTCTTTTTTCTTACTAGATGTACAATGCCCACCATGATGTCATTTAATTATTAATTTTGACTATAAATGTTTATTCACATTTCACACAATGTGCAAAAAATAGTGTATCAGCAGGGTTGTGCCGAGCTGCAGTGTAGATTCTGATTAACAAATGTTGGTTTTGTACAAGTGAAAATAAATGACTTAGAGCTGCATGTTTACACAAAATTTTGCTTTAATCTGATATGTATAACACCACAGTGCTCATGGGAGCCTGGACACAGAACTGTTTACATTATTAGGTCATATTTACAAAAAATACAGTGTACAGTAGCTAGTATTATTTTTAGGAGTCTGCCCAGTCCTGTCGAAGTCCTCAGGTCTGAAGTGACAGCTGCAGATGACTGAGGAGTCACTCGGGACAAAGTCCTTTCTCCTCATTGCTGCTACCCATGCCCGTCTCCTGTGTTTTTTGGGAAACGACACACAAAATAAGTGTGTCAGAAAAACGCAGTTCCACATAATTTGTAGTTACAATTCAGGCCACAAGTTAACTACTAACGTTATGCTGCGTTATGTCACGTTGGTGCCATGAAACAGATAGTTGACAATTTGGAATAACACATACACCCACATAGCTGTTTGACAAAGCATCATAATTTTATAAGTAATAACGTTATTATATAAAGGTTAACCTTTTTTCTTTAAGTTGTGTGACATAGCGTTAGCTTAATTTGGCATTAGGACCAGATCAGGACAGTTACTTTACTTGATTAGCTTAAAAGAAGGATCACTTTTTGAGATATATATCTCATTAAACATGTTCGTAACAGTAAAATATTGTAAAACAACTTCTTACCTGTGGAATGTTATTCCCTTCTGCTTGGTTTTAACACTTTTTTTGTTCGTACACCCAAATGCAGAGCAAAAATGTGGCATTTTTGCCGAGTCTGACATGGGTCTGAACCGGTCAGAGCACCTAGGCAAGATGGCGGGGGTATTGACACATCCCACAAGCCAGGGTGCGGCATCTATGTATATATATCTATGCTAGTGACAGGCGTCAGTCATTGATACCTTACACACACAGCACCCTCTGCTGACCAGGTGCTCCAACCATTTAAGACACAACCAGACCTGCTAGAAAATAATAGAAATCACATAGAGGACATCAAAACAGTAATTTTAACATATTCTAAAGTCCTTAACTGTTTATTATCAATTTTAATTTTAAATGGGGGGCAAGATATTTCAATCCTTTTTCATGTCTATGTCTCTGAAAATACTTTTAATGTCTCTGAACAACACTCAGTGCCACACAAGTACTCTGAAAGTGTTTGCGGTGGCACAGAGTCCAGACTTATACAGAGAGCGAAACAGAATGTTGAGCTTACATCATCAGGATGGTCTTACCAGGCTAACAGAAGCAAGCCATTTATTACTGAAGAAATGATCACAAAGTGTCATTACAAAGTCCTGAAATTGCCATCCAATCACTGTAACTGAATTAGAGGCTGTGACATTTCTGATATGTTATTTTGTGTGGATGTTCGTGGTTCCTATGGTTCCCTAAAAGATCTCTAAAGAAAGTGGAGAAAATACAAACCACCTATGTAGACATTTTCTCATTTTGTTTCTCATTTCTAGGGGACAGTGAAATGTAACTTTGCTGGTGTGGCACTTGGAGACTCTTGGATTTCCCCAGTGGGTCAGTATCAGTCAGTCTTGTACCACAACCTTTGTACCTGTTCAACAGAAACAACCACACTGGAATGCTCCGATTTTGGAAAAGAAAACATCCATTTACATCACACAATGGCAAAGCATTCATACTTAGATTTTTTAGCAATCAAGTATATCTACAGGGCATCTGCACAAGTTAAACTGTAGCTTTCCCATGTCTTTGGTTAAAATCCAGTTACTCTGATTTTTTTCAGTGGACTTGCCTATATAGAGAAATAACTGCTTGTTTTACCTGAGGAATGGGGAGGTGATCAAACCACAGATACCTGTATCACACTTTTCATTTAAAAACAAGCATAGCCTGTTGGTGACACATTGTGTTGTACTCAGGGCATCTTGGGGGCTGATCCACCATAATTGTATATGGAATAGAAGCTACAGACACTACTACTGGGGAGACTTGGCAAGAGAAAATTAAAACACCACTTTTTTGAAAGGAATTTTGGGGAATTCTTCAGGAGTATATTGTGGTTATTATACTTACAACAGCCAATCACAGATAAACAGAAAAAATGTTTAATGCATTGCATGGATTAGAGTCTTTATAAAGATACAGCAGAGATTATCGTTCAATGACCAGACTGCTCACAATAAGAATTGTGCTTTATCCACAGACTCTGTCATGACCTGGGGACCGTACCTCTACACTACTGTAGGCTAAGTAACAAACTATAGGAAAAAGTTTATATTAAAAATGTCTTGTCTGTTGAGTTTTTTGTGGCTCCTCTGTTGTGTAGTCGCTGCTGGATGATTACGGCCTGACAGATGTCAACAGTGCAGCGGAGGCGGTGAAGAAAGCTGTGGAGCAGCAGCAGTTTGAGAAAGCCACAGAGCTGTGGGCTGTGGCTGAGACGGTGGTGGAGCAGGTTGGTAAAACACAGGAGGATCAATAGCACTCTTTAATGCTTTTAGGGTTACTTTTTCATACTGTACTGTATAGTGAGCTACAGTGAGCTATTTATAGTGCATATCAGTACAAAAAGCTGTTCATGGTAGGATAACTTAATAAGCTAAAGCTACCTCACATTTAGTGTAAATTCTCAAAGTGGCTAGAGCATCGATTTATTTCCGTTCATTTAATATCTGTGACAAGCCTTTGTTTCTAATGTACATTATATTTTCAAAAGGACACCTCCCTGTTCATCAGCAGAAAGTGTTCAGTTTCACTGGCAGTTACATAACATCCCTTCATGTTAAAAGCATACTTTGGGAGATGTGTTACTTTCTTGCCAAAAGTTGGATGAAAAACTCAACACCACCCATATCTGTAGTGCAAATGTAAAGATGCAGTCAGGAGACAGTAAGTTTAACTTGGCACAAAGGCTGGAGGCAGGAAGAAACAGTTAGCCTGGCCCCACCATGTCCTTTTTATGCCTTTGTGTATGTAATAGCCATGGCTGGAGGCGTCATGGTTTCAGGTTGTCCATCCATACATACTTAGATCCATCCCATCCGCATAAAGGCGATATCTCCAGGAAATTTCTTATAATTTGGCACAAACGTCCACTTGGACTCAAGGAAGATTTTAGTTGTCAAAGGGCAAGGTCGTGACCTCATCTGTCTCATTCTTGTGAACACGATATCTCAAGAATGCCTTGAGGGATTTTTTTCAAATCAAGTACAAAGTTTCTTTCAGAATCAAGGATGAACTGATTAGATTTTGGTGGTCAAAAGTCAAGGTCACTGTGACCTTGCATCTATCTAATTCTTGTGAACATAATATCAAGAACACTTTAAGAGAATTTCTTTAAATTTGGCACAAACAACTTTATATTCATTGGATTAAAATGTGCTATATCGTCCTAAGGACAGAGGGGTGTCATATGCTGTAAAGCCCTGTGAGGCAAATTGTGATTTGTGATATTGGGCTATATAAATAAAATTGAAATTGAATTGAATTGCTCTGATATCGATGCCACACTCTCTCAGGTCTGATTCACAGAAGACCAGGTTGCCTTTCTGCAGCTGCTCAAAAGCCAGTTTTCCCAGAGACATGATTTTGCTGGTCTCTGTGTTCCAGAGTGGATCTGTTTCAGCTCCTTCATGATACTTGACGTTTCCTGCTTTGGAATGAACCATCAGAAAGTGGATGTACATTTCTGTCAGGGTCTTGGGTAACTCCCTTATCTCAATTACTCTCAACACATGATCTATGATTGAAGCACTGATCCAGCAGAAGACTGGGATGTGGCACATGATGTGGAGGCTTTGTGATGTCTTGATGTGGGAGATGATTCTGCTGGCCTGCTCCTCATCTCTGAATCTCTTCCTGAAGTACTTCTCCTTCTGTGGGTCATTGAATTCTCTGATTTCCGTCACCATGTCAACACACTCAGGAGGGATCTGACTGGCTGCTGCAGGTCATTATCCAGAGGCGAGTGGACGGGAGCAGTTTCCCCAGTTTGTCAGCAGCACATCCACTGAGGTGGACTCTGAAACATCAGTCAGGCCCATTGAAGGGCCTACTGTGGGGGGGAGACGAGACAGGACCAGGCGCTCCAGAGTCTTCATGAGGTGCGATGTTAATGCCACCGGTCTGAAGCTGCTGAAATCCTTCAGGTACCACACAGGATGTCTCCCACAGCTGTGGTACTCTCCCCAGCCTCAGGCTCAGGTTGAAGATGGTTTCAACTATCCCGCACAGTTGGTCTGCGCAGGACTGCCTGGAGCTGATGCCGTCTGGACCCGCAGCCTTCCTCGTCTTTATCCTCCTCAGCTGATCTCTCACCTGACAGATCGTGAAGGACAAGCTGGAGCAGGGGGGCTGTGTGATGGGGGGTGGAGGTGATGTGGTGGGGGGAGGAGTGGGGGGTGGTGAGATGTCCGGGGGAGCGTGGGTGGGGGAGGTGTTGAAGCAGTGTGCCAGGAGTGTAGGTGGGGGGGGGGAGGTGAAGGTGAACGTGAGGATGAGTGGGGTTACAGCCGGGATGTCTGGGCCAGGGGAGGGGCAGACTGATCAAATCTATTTAAGAACAGATTCAGATCATTCACCCACTTCTGGTTGCCTCTGGCCTGGGAGTCTGGTTATTTGTGTCCTGAGATGGTTTTCAGACCTCTCCAGACTCTGCTAACGTCGCTCTGCTGCAGCTGTTCCTCCATCTTTTTATATTCTTCCTTTCCCCGCCTGATGTTTCTCCGTAGCTCCTTCTGCATGGCCTTCAGCTCCTCCTTGGTTCCAGATATAAAAGCTCTCCGCTTCTCCATCAGGAGAGCTTTTATATCCGAAGTAATCCAGGGTTTGGTGTTGGAGAGGCAGTGTACAGTCCTGGTGGGTACGGTGCTTTCCACACAGAAGTTTATGTGAAATTTGTGTATATCATATTTTCTTTACTTTCTTTTTTTAATGTCGCTGGTACGTAGTGCTCACTTACAGAAGCATATACGCTGTGGTAGATGTGGGCTGCGACTTTAAGATCGCCAGTAATATGTTGTGTATGTTTGTGAATTTGTGACAAATCTGCTGACGGAGGCGAAGCACATCTGCGGCTGTTCGGTAAGGAAACCAGTTAAATTGGAAACCAGTAGGGACACAACACCGGGTCCCCGCACATGATCATGTCCGTGGGAAAATAGGAGAAAGACCGCTATAAAGAGAGCTGTCTTCGTTTCCATACCAAAGCAAGACATAATTTAAGTAACTGAAAAAAACTCCAAATAAGACAGTTAAATGATAAAGAAAAACCCAGCGGTGAGCAGGAGCTGCTGTACCAGGCGTCTGCACTGGGTCGCTTTAAATATCCAGTTGGACTTGTGGGATGGAATTATCTCCTTTCCTTTCGTAAAGGATGGTCAAGTGTACCCTATGCTAAAGGAGATTAGAAAGGAAGCATTGAAGCACCTTTCCTTAAAATTTGGAGAACTCGACCAGCTCTTATCATGGCTGTCACGTAGGCACTTCTGGGTCATTTCACTCAGTTAGGAACCTTCCTAAGCAGAAAAGACTATTCCGCCGCAGCCTTGAACTCATGGATGAACTGATTAGACTTTGGTGGTCAAAGGTCACTGTGAACTTGCATCAGTCTCAGTCTCATTTCGAGAAGGACTTGAGGGAATTTCGTAAAATTTGACAAAAACATCCATTTGGACTCACAGATGAACTGATTAGAATTTGGTGGTCAAAGGTCACTGTGACTTCACAAAACATGTTTTTGGCCATAACTCAGGAATTCATATGCCAATTATGACAAAACCTAACATACAAGTCTAATAGGATAAAATGATGAAATGATGTCCATCTTTGAAGGGCTGTGATGGAAAGCAAGATGGCGCCGGTGTGTGGCTGGCCGTCTGCTGCTCCCACTTTGGTTGGTGTTTTTGATGTTTCTAACACTTGGCACTATACAGATCTAGTCTCTGCTGGTGTATGATCGCCAATTCCTCATGGATCTTCGACATAATGTCAGAGATCTAGGGGCGTTTGATCATGATGGACAGAAAACTTTGCCCCCGCTCCTGGCGGGAATCCCGACTCACCTTTACCAGGCCTCGGTAAACGCAGCGGCTGGCAGGTGAAGCTGAAAGTCTGGTTGGCAAGTTCTCAGTCTATTTCCCGGTTGGGACATGAATTATACTGTCCCTTAGCTGTGCCCCGGCTCTTCCTGGATCCCATCGGCGCCTGCTTGGTACCTGTCACCAGCTCGGTTGAGGGACTCCAGCCCCGCCGCCCCTGCCTTCCTCGGCTCTCTCAGCGCGGGGAAGAATCACCAGCATCTGAGGATGCTGCTCCGGGCCCCCCGATCTCCCGAACCACAAGCCCCAGCTCCTGCCAGGATTGGCCTGGTGAACGCCAGATCTCTGGCGAACAAAACTTTTATCCTGAGGGATTTCTTCAGCTCTCGGAGCCTGGATTTCCTCTGTGTAACGGAGACTTGGATCGGTGCCGGTAAGTGCAGCGCTCTTGTCGAACTTTTACCGGCTGCCTGTTCTTACTTTAACTCCCCGTGGTCGTCAGGCCGTGGAGGAGGAACGGCGACTGTTTATAAAAATGGTTTTAAATGTAAGCAGCGCGCTGTATCATCTTGATTCTCCAGCTTTGAAGTGACTTTATTTGAGGTGGGTCGCTCTGACCCGGTGCTGTGCGCTGTCATCTACCGACATGGCATGGCAGCCAACGCTGACACCGCTGTGGCTTTACTGCGGTCAAGCCAGCTGTGGATCGCTTTTGCTTGGTCAAATCAGCCGCACGTTTTTTTCTAGTGCGCGAATCTACTAACATTTACGGTAATCGTAATGAAACAGCTCTGAAGAGCTGCTGGTAGTGACTGTGGGTCAGACTGCAGAGGACAAGTTCAAGGATGCAGTTGCAATCAAATTTATTCAACCCCCATTGCATATTAGGCCTATTGGCAAAATATACAATTTCTCAGCTGTTTGCAATAAACAAATTACCCAAGAACTGTTTAAGTAGTTCAGTGAAACTAATATTACAAGGGTTTTGATCCAAATTCAACACAAAATGCTACTTTTAATGACTACTGCAGTCTCAAAATTATTCAACCCCTTCATGACAAGCATCTTCAGTACTTAGTAGAGCACCCTTTTGCTGTTATGACCTGCTGCAAACGTGATGCATAGCCAGACACCAGCTTCAGACAGCGTTCCTGAGGAATCTTAGCCCATTCCTCATGGGCAATGGCCTCCAGTTCAGTAATATTCTTGGGTGTGCGTTTTGCAACCGCCTTCTTCAAATCCCACCAGAGATTTTCTATGGGGTTCAAGTCAGGCGACTGTGACGGCCACTCTAGAATCTTCCATTTCTTCTTCTGAAACCAAGCCTTGGTGGACTTTGAGGTATGCTTGGGATCATTATCCTGTTGGAAGGTCCAATGACGCCCAAGCTTCAGCTTCCTCACAGACGGCACGACGT